CGTCCTTGTGTTGCCGTCGGCGGTGTTTTCTAGGTGCAATAACGTTGCTTACTTTCACAGTTTACATCGTGTATGTAGAGCTGTAGTGACAAGTCTTGGATGGGGGGGATTCATTCAATGTCGAAAGTATAGAGTGGTGTGTGCCAGAGTTGTCTTGCGGTCGATACGAAGGACTGTATTTCGTAGACTGGTACCAAAGGAGTCTAAGTCATTCGAGTTGTATTGCAGTTAATGATTAGAATCGACCCTAAATTATTCCCCTCAACGAACTGCAATCAGTACATATCTACCGTTACGTCCAGACTGCCGGTCATACAGTATCTAGTCGAGTTATTTCCCCGTCTTGGTTGGAGTATTTTGCCTACATACTGGGTGGGTACTGGTAGTGATGACTGCGTTAACTGTCTGGCACATCAGTACAGAGGAGTGAGTGCAGTATTGCATCAACATAACAAGAGGTGAAATGTGAAGCTGAGCGCGTTTTTGAGCAACCGGGCTAACCTTGCCCGTCTATGCAGTGTAGGCTTCATGAATCTAGACGCATGTGTAGAGTACATTGGAATTGCCTACCGGTGGGTTTCCATCGGTATAAATGAAATGATATCCGTTACAGAGTGTACGAACTACTATGGGAATCCTATACTCGTAGGGGTTGGGTAACGGTTACAAAGTTGTAACGTTATGAGCAAGTGAGACGTGGAGTATATTGGTCGAGAAAATCCACATCAAACGATCTCCTTTCAACCGCAAGTTGCCCCGACGCACGTGGCTTCGCAGACCACGAAACTGGTAGCGTCGGTGCCGACCCGCGCTCCAGCACTACGGTTTCATCAAACGAGATGGGACGTTGCTCGCAAATGCCCTTGACGCACCGGTACATACTGTACTTGTGCACGGGGTACGTGCGTCTCCACAGCCATCGTGGTGGCAACCATCGACGCTAAGATCAAACCATCTTTCATGGTGGTAGTAATGCTAAGTGCAAAGAATCGAATGGACCAGCGAGCGACTCGGCCCTTCGAGGGGGGCAGTAGTGAATTGAAGACTAGGGCCCGTTGACCTGCGGTGTTAATACCACATGAGTGGTGACCCTGTGTCGCTGACTGGGATAAGCGGAGGATATTTCAATCTTACCGCACGCCCTATGATAAATGTTCTGTACCGTCAATGGTAAGAGTAGTACATGGTAGTACCGCGGCCTAACGCGCGTACGTTTGGGAGTTAATTCCTCGCAGTGGTTAATTCTCGAACCTTCACAACAAACTATACTAGTACTAACGTTACAGTAGTTTCATTTTCCATACCGGTAGCTTCAACTTGGTAAGTGTGGGATCATGACACGGGGCGCCCCCAGTCACTGTCCAACTGCGTAACTTGACTCTCCACAACCATCCGCTGACGTTACATCCGTTGGTAATTCTTGAACTTCACGCAGCAAATCCAACATTTTCGTGACACTGTCGACCGTGGAGCTTCCATGGATAGTATATAGTTGTGAACGCTATTTCGAGCGAGTAAACAGAATGTACTAAGTTAACTTACATTATTGATGACAAGCGAAACCGTCGGTCGACGTAACTGCGACGCGTTGAAATAGCACAGCGCCACGACGACAGCATGGCCGATAACCCCGACGAGTGCAAGTTCTTCCGACCTGAACACGGTTCCCAAGAAAGATGTCTGCGCAATTCCACCCAGGACCTTCGACCGTCGCAGGTCGCTCAATTGCACCGCGTGGTGAGTCAGCAATCTCCAGACACTCGACTCAATATTTGGTCGGCCCTTCAAACGCAACCGAGCGCCACTTCCGTTGATTACGTGCACGATCTGCTTCGAGTCAGTGCCTACTTGCTCAAAACATTCCCATACGAGACGTGCTCGGGCTATCAAACGTTGACGCAACTCCACGCGAGTTTTACAGCACCGTGGGATCGTGGGGCGCTGGACGCCTTGCTCGTCTCGATGCACGACCTTCCCACACTCGCAGCACTATTCCACAGCGTCGACTTGTCAAGGCAATCCGTCATCTTGGACGTAGCTGCCGAGTATCCCACACCGTTTGAGACGCTCTTGGGATGGTGTTCAGTTTCACCAGCGTCCCCGACTTTATTGCATTCGACGTTGGCAATCGTGGCCAACACAGACCACTTTCCGCTGTGGATGACGCTCATTGTAAATGTGCCTTTATTGCACCTGGAACCCTTTTTGAATCTGCTGGGGTCGTTTTCGTCTGCGGGGCAGCTCGAAGACCTCGCCAGCGTGTTCTTGACCCAGTCTGACCCGAGCGCCCTGATTGAGCCTCTTGTAGCACTTGCAAGTCAAGGCGTAGCTTCGATCCAATCCTTGCTCCCCCACTTATTCGCATCGTCGATTGCTCTCGTGATCGTGTCACTGCATCCCCTCTTGGCGTCGCTTGAAACTTTGGCAAAGCACTTGTCGCCCAACGAAGACGTTCTTGAAGACGTAATTACCACCATCAGCTACTTGGAAGTGTCCTTGACCGATGCAAATCACGTTCTTCAGTTCGCATCCGCGTTGCCTGATCCGTTGCCGTTCATTGCTTTTGTTCTGGTGCTGGCCAAAACCCACACTCAGCACCTGCCACGGTGTTTCAACGTGTTTGGCCATTGCAACACTAACGACCAACTGGAGCTTGTGCGCCTCTTCCTACTAGACGACATAAACGTCACCTTTGGGATTGCGTTGGTGCAATTTCCATTGGCGCAATTGAGTGCCCTGTTGACCATCACATCCACTTTGCCCCCCAGCGAGCTGCACTCGCTCGCGCCTTACCTCGAAACGCTACATCCCGATAGCCTCGACCCCCTGCTCACACTTCTCACCCTGCCCGACCTCGTGCGCCCCCATATTTACACCATCCTCGACGGCGTAGACTCTCCATTTCGGCTGTTGCAGTCCCTTCAGCACCTTTGGTTGGACGCTCCAACTATAGTGGACCCTACTCTTCGACTCCTAGTCCGCTTCGGCTCGGATCAAAAGACCGCCCTCGCTACGACCGTTCTCCACACGTCTGACCGATCGTTAAACTGTCGCGTCCTTGGTTTCCTCGCGGCACCCCCCGGCGAAATGGATGCGCGAGAAGTCCTTCGGCTGCTCCGGCACGTTCCCTCGTCGAGCTACGCCACCCTGGTTGAGCTGTTTCAATCCCCCCTTCGATCCAAGTTGGAACTGCTAGTCCTATCGGAGCTGCTGGAGGCCGTGACCTCCCCCGTCACGATTCAAAGTCTCCTCCAAGCCTTGATTCACTTAGACGAACCGACATTGCATGCTTTGTTCAATTACTTAGAGCATGTACCGGATTCGCTCATGCTCGTGGAGCTCATGCAGGCGTTCACAAGTGCTGACGTTCAGCTGTACCTGGATCTAGCTCTTGGGCTGTCACAGTCTATGCTTCGGGAGCTCAACGGCTTCATCGAGGGGCTGGACACTTCCGGTCGCGCCGCTTTCCTTCGAGTTATCCCCAACCCCCGTCGGAACATTTTGTCCCGGTATATGTGCCGTTGTTCTTCTCCCCATACACTGCTGCGGTTTTTAATGGTTCCTCGTTCGCTGGTAGGTTGATCATGAGTGTCCACACGTTTGACAACATCACAATCGGCAACATCCTGAGAGCGCTGGAGCACCACTCGTGGGACATCCGGTCGCTGTTGGTGGAGCAATTTCGTATCTTGGACGATCCAATGGCACTGGCGCAGGTTGCGGCGGTGCATGAATCGCTAGGCGCGGACCTCAACACTCGCGACAGCTTGGAAACGTACGCCATGATTGCTAGCTACTGCTCCAAGTCTGTCCAGATTCAACTCGCGGCAGTGCTGTATCGTCTCGCAACGTCGGATCGAATCGACTTGTTGACGATGTTACGAAATCACGCGGAATGGCTGCCTACAGAAGCCATCGATGCCGGGTACCAATCATGTGTTTGTCTCACGATGTGTTTTATGATTGAACCGTCCATAGATTTTGGACGGAAGAAAACATTGCAAGGCTGTGTACGCTGCTACTCGGGCACAATTCGACCGTCGCCACGCATCTCCTCCAGTTGCTCGGCAAGCTCAACGCCACCTTCCACGAGCCATTTCTCACGACTTGCCAGAATCTGTCAGGTGACATGGCATATTTTGTGGAGATATTTCATGGCGCAACGGTGTCCAATGTTCGCGGCTTCAGCCCCCTTTTATTTGGTGGAGACCTCCTGACAACCGTGGACATCCATCGACTGGCCAAGTGCGTCCGGAAAATGCTCCACGCGTCGTTTGGATTGGACCTGGCGGTACAATTGCTGGTGCAATTCCCAAACATATCTTCGTTTTTGCGCTACTTTGACCGTGTTGGCACGTCTCAGTCGTTGTTGGTGCATGTGATGGCAATATTCCCGACCGCTACGGTGGCAGTGGTGAGATTTCTCGAGTCGCTCGACATGGACGACGCTGCCTTCGTGATGCGACGGCTCTTGGAGCTGCCCCGCGACAGCAAAGTTCGGTTTGAAGCACTGCTTCATCAGCCAATGTACGGCTAATGCCCTCGCAAATTTCACGGGTTTTATTCCTAGGACACGGCTCACAGGCCGAGAGAAAGCGTTGTACCTCAGTGTCGTGGACGACCACAAATTGGTTGACCAGTCGATCTCGACAACGATGATGAAAAGTGTGTCTGTGGGTGCATTTTTGCCGAGTTTGAACTTGCTGTGGAGCTGCGACGACGTCGAGTCGAAATCGTTGTCCCGGAAGCTGAAACGTGTGGGGCAAATCCCATTTCGGACGGATTGTCGAAACCAGACAACGCCCCCAGTGAACGTGGAAAAGGAATTTTACACGCTTTCGATGGAGCCCAATCGGGATTTTTCCTTGTCGTTGGCGTCGCAGTTGCGCGAGGCGGCTCCCTCTACTACCCCCCTGAGCCCCCTTTCTGGCCCATTGACCGACAATCAACTAAACAAACCCGACATTATGACCCCCACCGAAGTTCCTCCACCGGCGCCAGATCCCATTCAATGCATAGACAGTGACGAGTATGAGAGCGATGACGACGACGACCAATCCGCTCCGTCGAAACCGTTGTTTGACCATGTGCTTGCAGACAACCTGCTGGAAAAGCATCCCCTCCACACTTTGATTGAAGAAGATTTGGACGCAGATGGTTTGCCTCGACTTCACATTCCTGGTCGGAGAAAACGCCCGACTGCCAGATCCATGCGAGGACTCATGCCAGCGATCCAAAACATCGCCCCCCAGATAGGAAAACGAAGACCGAGCACGTCCCCGGGGTCCCCCTTCGAAGCCATCGCACACGACGCCAACCTTATGCGATGGCCCCCCACGCGAATTCAAGTGGCGAGAACCCCCGAAGCGAAGCGAAAAGTGTTTGATGCAAGGGTGCACAAGAGTATGGGAACCCTCGTGCTGCCGGTGTTGAAGGGCCAGCACGACCTTTCCACCATTCGCCGCACAAAGTCATGCACAGGACTGTAGGTTTAATGCGTGAAACTACAATATCGTGATGCTTTGTATGCTTGAAGTGTGCACAACTACGAGCATCTACACTTGGTATGACAATCTGTCTACAAACAGATTCGGGTGATATCAGTGCGCAAGGGCACAAAACACTTGCCAAATACAGTGTACCGGCAGGCCAATGTAGCAAATACAAAGGTGGCCCTTATCGCAACATTCCGCAACGACAGTTTTGCAGCATTTAGGTTGCAGTCGTAGGGGGTTAATCGGTCTTGTTTTTACTTGCACATTGTATACAGCTTACGTTTTAGGCGCGGAGTCTCCTGTGTTCATCGTTTACTTCTTCTAACGTTAACGGTATTAGTAACTGTTACCGAAATTAACCTGAAAAATGGTGTAGTAAGGTGATTCATGTAATTCCCGGCCAGCTTGGCCTACTTTCTGAGTGCCACAACTCGCCACCCTACGAAAACATGCATTTTGAAGATCGTGACGAGCTTTATAACTTTATGCAGGTCCCATCATTTGTATCGCATGGCCAATTTGCACGTCGAATATTTCTAAAATTGAAATTTTCCCATGTGAATTTAATTCCCCGCCAGGAAATCACTTGAATAATGTATGCCCAAATCAGGCATACATTATTTAAGTGAATAATGATAGGTATAAAGTATTCAAGTAATTAAATTTAGAAGTGCAACTAATATAAAAACTGTATAACATGTCCAACAACCTCAATATTAAATGTTACAAGTATTTGATGCAAGAGTACGTAATTTTGTCTAATCATAGTCCATGGATGATTGTGATTGGGCATTTGCTGGCCGGGAATTACATGAATCACCTTAGTAATTAATCATACGGAGGGTATACCAGTAACAGTTAGTAGAAATGCGGTGGTCTAAATGATTTTATCTAGATGTACGTACAGTAGTAGTAATTATCATACTCCTTCGAATGCACAGCCAGGGGATGACAGGACGTGATGTATTATAGGAGCAGAATAGTTATTAAAATGCCCCCACATTGTATGAAAGGAATTACTTCCTATTGATTTGATAGCGAGGATTGTCATTGTAGTGTACAAATACTCCGCAATACCGTAGTAGTGTGCATTTTACCCAAACTTAGACTTGTGAGTCATTTCGCCAAATACACTGTAGTATTCGAGGGATCCATTTGATCCAATTGAAGCTTGTACAAACTACTATACCATGCTTATGTTGGCCCCTTGTACACTTCACGATTGAGGCAATAATCCCATCGGCTAGAGGGACGGACGCGACTGCCTATTCGTCGTCGCTGTCTTCGATTTCAATGATTTCAATCGGTTGTTGGTGGGTGGATATATGGCTCACGCGCGCCGGTTCCGGTTTCACTGCAGCCTCATCGTTGTCGTTGTTGCGTACATCCTCCCCATGTCTGAGATTGTCCTCCTCGACGTTTTCACCAGCGGCATCGGTGGTGGAAAGTGTCGGGGGGGGGCTTATATCGACGGGTTTGGGAGTATTTTTTCGAGTGACGTGTGCGACAGCGTCCGGCCCCACGACGCTGAGAAGCGGGCCGAGAAAGATGTCGCGGATCACATGGAGGTCACATCCAGCATCGAGAAATACTGCGGCGCAGAGGGCTTCGAAGCCATCGGCAAAGATCTTTGGCATGGTCACATGGGGCCGCTCCGAACTCCCTTCCGCATGCAATCGCTTGAGGTCGGCCAACTTGTCCACGAGAAGCGGATCCAATCGCATGGAGCCCGTGAGCATGATCTGGTCGATGTGGAAGCAAATGAGCGCGGCTTTGCCGAGCGCGTCGTTGCTCACGGTCGCGCCTTTCCAGTCGGTCAACGCGCCAGGCTGCCACGTCGGGTGCGCAATATATGCGTACGTCACGACAAGGTACTCGATCAGCGCATCCCCCAAGTACTCGAGCCGCTCATAGTCGCCCTTCCACACAACATTGGTTGTCGTTTTGTCGGCATGGATCAGCCACTGCGCCACGGATGGGTGTGTGATGGCTTCCTATATATATATATATATTTATATATATTGTAATTTATGCGCGATAAAGTTTCAAAATTTGCGTGGTTGTTTGTCGAATTGATATTGAATCACAGTGTTCTGATTTTTGGTGAGGATACTTGTCGTTTCTGTAAGAACCAATCAAATAATCCACACAAAATTGGATTAGCCAATACCGTCGATTCGATTGATTCGATTCGACAAGGTGTGGAAATTCGTATCGAATCCACTATTGTGCTTTCGAGTGACATTTCGTGTGGTGGTTTCTCGTTGGAATTTAAATCGATTTGATTGGCTACTTCAGATGAGCTCAAAATTATTAACCAATCAAAACCTTCTAAATGAAATTCAACCAATCAGATCGAGTATGGATCGGTTTGGTCGGCGCGATTCGATTGCACCCCCTCCCCAAATTTGTATCGAATCCACTATATATATTGCTTTTCTTTCAAAGTTTGGACTGTCGTTGGTGCTGCTACTACATATCTGCCAAGTCCATCGATCGATCGATATTATTTGTACGGAAAGTTGTAAGGAAAAATAAAGCCAAAGGCCAGCGGAAATGCCCATGTACAGACAATAATTGAAGTCGCACACTTAGTTCGCAGTGGATTGGTTGACGTGTTGATTTCCTGCAATCTGATTGGTCAAAAAATGGTTCTGCCGATATATTTTTTCTGCTGTCCATTTGTGTCGATACATTCGGTACGTCGCTCCAATGTTGAATAATCACAATAATATGTATACTCTAAAGAAAACTATTTCGTTGTGAAAATATTTGAAGCATCGTGAATGGAAAATATATCTTTGTCACTACAGTACTAGCTCGTACTGTATTTTTAAAAAAATATCAAACGAGATTCCGTGAGTTTTTCATACTAGTATACTAGTATCAAAGAGTAGAAACACTTTTTTATTAAAAAATCAAAATATTTTGGTAGAAATTTCTGGGCAAGGTACTTTTCAAAAAAAATATCAAACGAGATTCCGTGAGTTTTTCAAACTAGTATATCAAAGAATAGAAACACTTTTTTATTAAAAAATCAAAATATTTTGGTAGAAATTTCTGGGCAAGGTACTTTTCTTTTTTCAAAAAATTAACAACAAATAATAAAAACAGGTGCTCATGAAATTCAATGTATATCATATAGGTAGGAGGAGATTACCAAAAGTAACCGCTTGTCCTTGAAATTGTACTTTAATGACGTTTGAAGCAGGTACATGCGCTCGGGAATGTCGTCGTAGCCCAAATGCGTGAGGTCCCACGTCGCCTAAGTAAGAAGCGTCAGCAGTCGTTGATTTGACTAAAACGCGTCCATCAATATATATTAAATATCATTGCATAAGTAAGTATAACGTGTACTAGTATCCAAAGGGAGCTATATGGTGGATGCGGAGCAACTGTATTCACAGTAAATCACAAATCGAAGGGACGCTATTGGCGAATCCAATTTTGAATCGATCCGATTGGCTCTTATGGAATAAATTATATTCATCCAATCAGAATTTCCAGAAGTGACATTGAAAACCACGCGAAATTATTAAGACGTGGATACTATGAATCGTACTAGCGAGAAATCACAATACATATTTCAAATTTGCAGCAAAAGCGTTGTTGAACCAATATCAACCACAGTAACAATGGTAGGTGGTTTATAGGTACGACTAAGTAGTACCAGATCACGGGGAGTTTCTGGGTCCACTTGGGCTGGAACAGGCTGGGGCAGGCAGTGGGGAAAGTACGTTCTGTTGTAAACTTGGGGCGTCTCACACACCGAGCACCCCGTCCACCTACCCATATCCAGTCAAAAAATCGGGAGATTTTCGACAGAGCATGCAACGTACTCGAGGAACGCCCGACCCGCCACTTCCCCCGCGCCTTCAATATACGCCCCGCAAGTCGACTCCAATACGTCTGCAATCCACTTCAAATGCGCAATGACAGCATCGGGAGTTCGCCCCATACAGCTTGGAATCCACGTTCGAAATGGGCGTTGTTCAAAGTCGGCGGGGTAAATCATGTAGTGGTGCAGCATTTTATCCATCGAGAGTTTGCACAGCCGGTCGTTGCGGATCATGTCGCCTCGCAGCATGGACAACGTGCCTTCCGACTTGACGTCGGGGCGGTTCTACAAAAACATCGTGGTGACCATACCATGATATATATATATATATATATATATATATATATATATATATATTCCAACGTGACATGTACACTATTTTTTGTCCATTTCGAGGATTCAAAGTTTAGTTTGTAGAGTGCAAAACCAAAACTTGACAGATCCATTGACCAAATAAACCCAAAAGATTATACATTGTATTCAATATGCATGCTGAATCAAATGGTCAAGAAACAAAAACGAAATCCTCTTCTTTTTTTTATTAAATATATATATATATTATCCTCGTGCAACCTTTGCATTCGGATGTGGGCGTTCAAATACTTATTGATGACTGTACGTACATACATATATGTTTTCAAATATATTTGGTTGGAAATAGATAATAATGTAGGAAAGAATACATACTAGTATTTTAACTTTCAGCAACGTTCGTTACCCACAATCATCATCGACGAAGAATGGATTTCGTGACTCGGGCACACACAAAAATATATTATATACCCAATATGTTGGCCACATGCACACACAACACTATATATATATATATAAATGTATCATATGGCAACCTGGTACAGCCACCACGTGGACTCGAGTTTGAGAAAGCAATCGCCCAGCATTTCCAGTCGTTCGTAGGCCGGTTTAGTCGTCGCTTGCTCCAAATACTTGACGTGAATATCACGCCCCACGGCAAACATCAACGTCGACAGCTGGCACTTGCGTTCAAACTCAAACAAGAGCGGCAAGAGCCGAATCGCTTCAAAGTACTGCGACTTGCGCAGCGATAAGATGGACGTTTGGTCTGGAATTAGCAGCCGCTCCTTCAAGTGGCCATACTCGAGGGGCGACGTGCCTTGTTCAAGGACGTATCGGATTAGCGGCACGGCCGCGGGGATTTCAATCCCGTGCACGAGCGGCTGCTCCGGGGTCGACTTGAGCAGGGCGTCCTTGGTGTACCACCGGCCCAAGATGGGCACGCCCGGCGCTATAATTATCAATATATATATATATGGTAAACCATACACTGGTGTTACGATCTTGTCGAGGATTCGAATAATCGCCACTCAATCTCGAGAATGAGCAGAATAACCATATCGGCACACAATCGATGATCGACCAATCAAAACACAAGACATGAATCAAGTAGCCAATCAAATCCAAATCAACATCAAAAATTCGTGTGTGACTTCAACTCGTGCGACACTGGACGAATATTTTACATATAAAAGTCTGTACATTGAATATCGATCGATAAATTTGGCGAATCCGAACACAAAAATCCAAAGTTTGGGTAAAGACAATAAATACTGTATTGTGAATATTCGCTATACACTTGCAAAATTCGCGTGGTTTGTCAAATCAATATTGAATCACGCTGGAGTTGTGATTGGTTGTTGATATACTTGTCTTTTCTGTAAGACCCAATCAAATAATCCAAACAAAATTGGATTAGCCAATAGCGTCGATTAACGTGATTCGATTCGACGGGGTCTGGAAACTTGTATCGAATATACCACAATATCATCATCATCACCCTACCTGATTTGGCCCGTTGAATCGTATACGACCAATACTGATTGTTGGCCACCACCCGGCGTGCCACGTCACCGACCAACACGGGGGTGATACCTTGCACGACATATGCGACGTCTCGGCGTCTATTGGACACGAAAATCCACTCGTCAATGGCCAAACCGTGGGGGGTGGTCGGCAGAGGCCACGCCGGTCGAAGGAGCGCCGTTTGCATCAAATTATGCAGCACGGCCCAGTCAATGTCGACCCGTTCTTCGTCTCCACCAAGTAGCACTGGCACGACGATGTACCCCTTGTCATTCTTGGACGAAAATGCAGCTTCCACGTCATCGTCGCGGTGGTTGGCGGCGGCGTCCACGCCGTAGCAAATCAACCGCATGAGCATCACATGGAACTGCAACGCCAGAACCAACTCGGCGCGGGGCAGCGTCACCTGCTTTGGGTGCGTCGACATATGGACACTTTGCACGGCGGGCGTCATCACGTGGCTGGTTTTGAGTTCAAAGCGCCACGACCCATTTGTTTTGCCTAATTCACGATCGATTTGATAGTACAAATTTGCGGCGGGGGTGCAATCGAATCGCGTCGACCAAACCGATCCACAATCGATCTGATTGATTGGTTGTTGAATTTCATGGAGAAGGTTTTGATTGGCTAATCATTTTGAGCTCATATCTGAGGTAGCCAATCAAATCGATTTAAATTCCAACGAGAAACCACAACACAATGAAATTTCACTCGAAAGCACAATATTTTCGTTGTTTAAAGGGGTTTTCGTTCAGATGGTTGGTTAATGCGTGTATTTATATTATTCCACACTGGACGGGACGAGCCTGTTGAACGATGTATCGAACTATTAGTCAAGTCGATATATTCGAAATTCGAGTGTTTGGGTTGTGCTCAATCGAATGAGCAGAATCACCACATATCGGCAGACAATCAAAGATCGACCAATCAAAACCAAGAACTCTAACAAGTGGCCAATCAAATGATCCACCCTTCGACAATTCAACACCAAAGTAGTATGTGACTGAAATTAATGTGATACTGGACGACATACAAAAGTCAGGACAACGAAGAATCGATAGATTTGGCAAAGAATCAAAAGTCAACCAAATTTTGGGTAAAAGAAAGACAATACCAAATGGGCACACGATTTCGCCCAAATAAATAATTAGCCAATCCGAAATCGCCAAAAAACATAATTAGCCAATCCGATTGCAGGGGAAAGTCACCGTTCAACCAATCAATCACCATCAACTCATTCGTGTCTGACTGGATTTATTAGTGTGAATATTTAAAACTGGAGCGACGTGTCGAATGTATGTATCGACACAATCCAAATGTGCAGAAAGAGTCGCGACAGAAGCATCGAGCCAATCAGATTGCCGTAAATCATCGGTTCAACCAATAAACATCTAATTAGTGTGTGACTAAAACTAGTGTGATGGGTATCACGGCTGTTTGCATGCAAAAATCAATCGATGGGTTTGGCAAATCAGCATAAAAGTCCGAATTTTGGCTGAAAGACAATATGGGCATCAATCACTTGTGTTGGACACTTTTTGTGCATACAAATGTCAATAACTTTATAAAACACATGTGATCGATGGATTTGGCATCCCATTTTGCACGCACAATATACCTCCGTAAAGGGGCTCGGTACACAGGATTCCGTATGGCATGCCGCCCAGCCCGTACAAGTACATGACTGCCTGGTCAGTGTCTTGCGTGAATTTCGATTTGATAGGCGCGAGGCCCATCTCGACGGCCGTGGCGGCGGGGATGTCGTAGCTGTTTTGCGTCTCCAGCTCCATGTCTTCGTCCACCGACTCCTGGGGGATAAAGTTGCGGTTGACTAGGAGCTTGGACTTGAACGATCGATCAAGGAACCCCCGTTTAAGCAATAATTCCACGGCTTTGTACGCGGCCATGCATTTCGCTTGCTTGGCAGACACCACCTACGTAGGACTTTTATTTATTTTTTTAAACGTTTTTGTTTATTATTATTTTATTTATTTTTTGATTTTTTAAATTTAATTATACGTCCTTTTATAATAGGACGTCCACGGATCATGCTCATCCATTTATGTATTCCTCATTCGATGATTGATCTATAGATATTGTCAAATCCGCTCCAATATGGACAACTATTTTGTAGAATGAGATTGAAACAATTGGATTTTAGAATGTCCTAGCCAATCAAAGTGCACGAATGAGAAATGTCATCCAATCAACGACTAGGATCGTTTGACCCCACAGTTTGACCCAGGCCAAAATGTTGATCTTGAAATGAGTATACCATACATTGAATAAGCTTAAAATCTGCCCCAACACGCTTCTCGAATCAGCTGCCAAGTCCAAATTTCAGCGAAAAGGACAATATACAGTAGTCTAGTCGATTCGAATTTGGAGTGGGCATCTCTATTGGAATGAGCAAGCAGACTAAAACAATTTAAATAAAAAACGTACATTTAAAATATTTCTTTACAACAATCGACCAATGAAAACCCAGCAGATAAATCAAGTGGTGGCGAATCGACTTGCTCAAGTCAAATCGCTTCCACCCAGTCCATATTGAATTTGTGTGTGTAACTTCAAATAGTGTGTCATTTATTCAATACAAAATGTCAGTTCAATCAATTTGGTACAGCACCCCAACCATTCAAACTTTGACTACAACGACAAGAACACCTCGCTTTTTCAGGTATACTAGAATGTGTGTGTACTAGAATGTATGTTTTCATACCTTTGGGGTCAACAACACGTGCTTGACACGAAGCATCGACGGCAATTTCAAACTCGCCGAGTACAGGAACTTTCGGTGGTTGTCGGCGTCGTCGTCGTCGTAGTTGTTACTAGTAGTAGTACTAGTAGACCGAAATCGCTTTTGACTGTCGTGATGCCGGCCCACCAAATGGCGCTTGATCACGTACAACGGGCGGTTGTCGTAAATTTTGATCCCAGGCAGCGTATGGCAAAACGCAGTCAAGAGCGCAATCGAGTTGTCCAACGTCATCTTCGCCTTGACGTCAGCATGGTACAGTTCGTACCTACATTCCCCAACAACGTCATCAAAGTCCAGGGGGGGGGCTGGGGGAATGGGGGGGTCGGGGGGGGGGTAATACATACTTGGTGCGACCGCCGTGGCCACCGTGGTGGTGGTGGTGGCTGCCATATCGTTGCTTGAGACGTGGCATCACAGCCTGGTCTAGTGTTTCCTGATCGTTGCCGCCATTTCCATTGTCCAGACTTAGCAACGTCGCCATCTTGGTAAACAACGCGCGGTACTTTTCGAAATCCAACGGCGTATCTGCGATAATGTACTTGAACACTCCATGGTCTGGATGTGCGCCTACAGGAGGAGCGAATGGCCACATGAACCCAAGAATCGGCCCACAGTACATGTATTACATACAGAACTGGTATATGTACTACAGTACTAGTATATGTTAATCAAGTAAAGTATTGGTAACACCAAAATTCAATTGTGTAGGAAATGTGCACCATCCACAACGAAGTAGTGTATGACTTTACAAATTAGAGTGATTCCAATCACACCACAGGACACTCCATATTGTTTATATTCTAAACTGGAGCGATATATATAGAGAGAATATGGAATCGACACAACCAACAAATGTACAAGCAGCATCGGCACAAGGATTGAGAGCCAATCAGTTTATTGCAGAAAAAACGAGCCACCCCATCGAATTAGGGCGATGTGACTTCAATTAGTGTGATACCAACCACCACTGGATAGCGCTTTACATACAACAAGTTAGTACAAAGAAGAATCGATCGATACTAGATTTGGTCCATTAGCCCAAAAGTGTTCAACTTTTGGGTAAAAAAGGACAATACGGTTGCGAACTTTTAAACTGGAGCGACATGGACCATGAATGAATGCATGCACCCAACCAAAGGAACTATATAGCAGCCTCGGCAAAAGCATTTTAGCCAATCAGATTGAAACCACCATGAACACATTCAATTAGTGTGAAACTTCAATTACTGTGATACTTGAATTTTCACACTAATTACATGTTGACACCTTTTTACATACAAAAGTCAGTACAACGAATATCGATCGATAGGTACATACATATGCGCGATTGATTCAGCACAAAAGTAGTCCACATTTTGGGTAAAACAAAGGCAATAATCGAGTCGACGTTGTTGCTTGGTTAATAGGACAAGAGTAATGCAACGACGTACGTTGGCGAAAGTCGAGCAGTTTGTGGGGATCCACCACTTCGTCCATCGAAATCACCAGCCCGCACAGCGCGATCTGGTCCACTTCAGTCGACAAGGCCGTGGACACGAGCACTGGATTGCGGCCGTCGTTGAACCGCCCTTCCACGTCGACGGCTTTCAAAGCGCCGTTGGTTGCTGCTTCCCCTGCAATACTCGCTTGACTACCACCTTGCAGGCTACAGCATGGCGGGTACGATGGGAAGCATGCCGTCATGTACTCGGCCACGACGCGGGTATGTGCGCGCCGTTGCATGAAGATCCAGCAGCGTCCGCCGTGGCTTGCTGCGTTCTCCATGTACGCTCCGACCAAATCTGCCGCTTTCTTGAGCCGCGAGTGCGTGGCTTGCAGTCCCCCGTGCTCCGTCTGCTGCTGCGTTACGATCCAATCCAAGAACGACCGCGTCGACTTGACGTCGGCATGGTCTGACATGTCCGACGCGGCGGATATGACTGATGGGGCTTCGTCCGATGTGGTCAAGAGGTTGATGGAGTGCGCGTCCAGGCGTCGATCGTTTTGGGAGAGCAGCGCTTCGTCGAGTTCGTGGCGAAGTTCCAGTTCGATGTATTTGAGAAAACACCATAGCCCCAGCTGCTCCAACACGGTTTCAGCGGCGTCGGCAAATTGCTTGCACCGGCTTTCAATCATCACGTCGTACTGCGAGTTGGTGCTCCCGTTGCTGCCGAGCGCCAATAAGCTCGCAAGCAATGCCTCGGCGTTGCAGTGCAAGGCATTCGCGCCACGGAGAAACTCCACGGGGTGGCCCACAGTCCCCGTGTAGTTGGTCGCCTCGTACTGGAAGGTTTCGACAATGATCGGGGCGATTGTTGCACGCTTTCGAAATGTCGGCTGGGTGATGCAAAACGCCGACACGAGCGGGTACAATGGATTGCTGCTTGTGGGTAAATCGAGCTCTGACAGCGTCTTGGACACCATCGCAAACAGTTTCGGACGAGTATGCCGCGGCTGTTTGGTGTATTTGGATGCCAGGGTCGCAGTGAACGTCGCCGCCGTCGTGAACATCTACATGGAAAACAATCACAGCGTCATCAATCGCATATTGCGCCATCTTGTCGTACTTCTTCGGTATCTTCCACGACAATCAGCGCCACATTCGCGTATGAAAGATGCCCCAGCTACACAACCAGTATGGTCAGTCCAAAACAAATACAACGGGCACAACTGACATGAAACAGGTTGGACGCAATCGCGGGGGACACACACAGCACTCTAGCATGTGCACACTCGCGCTTCGAGTATGATGCATCTCGCCATAGGTGCTCTGAGCTCTCTGACGCGACGACGACCTTTGCCGAGCACAGACGCGTGACTAAGTTGAACACTTCGGTCGTTTTGGCGGCACCGGACACGAGGACAAGCGCCTTCCCCTCGGCGTCATTGAGCAGGGTTTCCCGGATGAGGAAAGCGGCCGCAAAGGTCTTGCCGATCCCGCTCTTACCGCTGACGAGGACGTTCTGCTGCCGCGCGAGGGCGAGCATCTCCTTCTGGTGCTCCCCCAACGACATGACGGCCTTTCTCTGACTGTGAATGGTACCCGGATAATAATGGATTATCCGGATACTCATTACACCAATCACAGCAAAGCAAAAAATACTGCCAAACGACTGGTTGAAGGTCTTGTTTTCAAACACCACGAACGATCACAACACAAGAATAACTGAGATTCCATGAAGGCTGGCTCAACGAAGAAGCGCAGCGCGGCGTCTGTAAAGGCCGCCGCTCCGCTGCAGCACCTGGACACACCAGACGACTCTCCTCTGGAAGACGACGTGGTTCCAGAACAGGTGACGACGTCCGTGATCAGTGCGTGCAAGGTCCACCGATGCCGCTTCCTCAAGTACGAGCCGTCGACGATCACGGCGTTGGGCTTCAACACGACGGGCGATATGTTGGCCGTGGCACGACAGAACGGCGACATCGAGCTATGGAACGCGTCGCTGCGTCAGTTCCACCTCCACGCAGTGGTATCGGGGCGGTCCACGGCAGTGATTTCCAGCGTTGTGTGGACGTCGGCGCACCGGCTGTTTGCGTCGTCGTTGGACGGGACGGTGAGCGAAGTAAACTTGAGCACGTTGCGCTTTGTGCACAGCACGCACGCCAACGGCGGACCGGTGTGGTGCATGCAGTACAAAGCGTCCGAGCAGTTGGTGGCCGTGGGGTGCGAAGACGGCCGCATCCGGCTGTACGCGGTGCCCGAGGACGACTCGGAGCCGCTGGTGTTTCACAAGGTGCTGGGCGGCACCGGGCGCCGCGTGGTGTCGCTGGCGATCCACGGGAGCAGCGACTACCTCTTTGGCGGGAACGACGAAGGCGTGATTTACAAATGGAACACGCGCACGGGCCGCAACGAGTCCCGCATGACACTGGAGCGCTTTGCCAAGCAACCGCCGGCGGTCGTGTGGTCGCTCGTGGTCCTCGCCGACCTCACCGTGATCAGCGGCGACTCGAACGGCAACGTACACACGTGGGACGGCGTGTCAGGTACTCTCATGCAGACGTTTGCGCAGCTGACGGCGGACGTGCTCACATTGGCCGTGGACACGACCGAGACGCTGTTGTTTGCCAGTGGCATCGACAACCAAGTGATCCAGCTGCGCAAGGGAAGTACAGCATCATCGGGCAAGGCAGGGCACCAGTGGGCGTATGCATACAGCCACCGCGCACACACCCACGATGTGCGCGCGCTGGCCATCTCGCCGTCATCGGACGCGGCGCTCTTAGTGTCGGGTGGGGTAGACACACATTTGGTCTGGTACAACGCAGCCAAGTTCAACGCGCTGCGTCCAAACAAGGCCACGCCGCTGCCCCAGCGGCCATTTGTATCTCTGGCTGCGCAGGTTCGTCACGTTCTCGTGCAGCACCCGACCAGTTTGGAGGTGTGGAAGCTGGCTTCGTGTGCTGCCACGTCATCGTCATCTCCGTCACCCACCATGCTGGCCCAGCTCAAGCTGGCCGGCGAAGCCAACATTGTGGCGTCGGCCATCTCCCCCGACGGCAGATTCATCGCGTGCTCGACGGCGTCCGTGCTCAAGGTGTTCTCCGTATCCGGACGTGAGATCAAGAAGCTCCCCCTGGCGGCGACGGTGGCGCACCCAGCGTACTCGATGGTGTTCACGGCCGACTCGGAGCGACTAATCACGGGGGACGTAGCCGTGCGGTTGATAGACCTGACGTCGCTAAGTGTGATCAAATCGTTGGTCAAGAAGAACGCAGTGCAGACCAAGTCATTGGCCGTGTCGTCGGACGGCCAGTGGCTCGCCGTGGGCGACCTCAACAACCACCTGTCCGTGTTCAACTTGGACACGATGTCATTCTACGCCGACTTTCCCACGCCCCAGGACATGCACACGTGCATGCGATTCCACCCGAACGGCAAGATCCTCGTGGTTGCCACCGTGTCCAACCACTTCGCGTGCTACGACGTCGAGCAAAAGAACCTCACAGAGTGGAGCCGCGATAACCACCACAAGCTGCCCAAGACTCTGTTCCTTCGCCAGCCGTACCATATCAAGGGCCTCGCGTTTCACCCGACGCAGCCCAATAGCGTTGTGTTCTGGAGCCAGCAGTTTTTGTTCCATATTGACATTGACCAGCCCATCGTACGCGATGACGCCAAGTCCAAGCGCCGCCGAACGCTCAGTATCGGCGGCACCGCGGACTCGTCCAGCGACGACGTGCCCGACGTACCCACCGGCCACCCCACGTACCAATTCATCGACCACTATGGCCCCATTGCGTTTGCAGACTTTTTCAACGCGTCCGGCGCCACAACCCCCGAACTCGTGGTCGTGGAGATGCCGTTCTTCAAGATGCTAAATGCCCTCCCAGATGCATTGCACCGCCCCAAGTACAATGGAAGTGGTGGGGGGGGCCATTGAAAACCATCGTAGTCATAATATATCAATCGCATGTCATCATGCCACAACGACACACGCTTCGTCTCGAAATGCATACACGACTACTACTAGTAGGGGGGATACTAGTAATACTAGATACTTGTATTACTTCTGGACGATTTGTATGCGACGAGATTACGTATTGGTGGCACAACTTGTAAGCTCAGGTAGCTGATGAAGCTCGGGAATGGGCGGACAGTCACGGGGGATGCAATGAAGGGGGAAGTGGTGGTGGTGATGAGGTGGAGCGTTGTTAGGTGTATTCGCTTTACAACTAGTAAGTAGTACTAGTATTACGTAGTAGTTGACTGAACGTTAATCAATCAAGTGACGCAGGGACGGGTTATGACGATGGCGACGGGAGATTGCAAGCCGAGGATTGCGCGGGTCGTCTGTATCTGCTGCCGAGCTCACTTCAAACAACTAGTAAGAGCATTGCAAACAAGATGATTGAATGTGGTTAGGGGGATGTACGTGCCCATGATGGACAACGAAGTGACTGTACATATGTACTGTACCTTGTGGACAGCATTGAGGAACTTGGACGATTGCCGGTAATACCGTGTGGGATGGTGTAGCACCTCAATGAGTCGTTGAAGCGTAAATGGCGGCCTACGATCGTGATGATCAACCATGCATATACGTAGGAACGTACGAAGGTCGCATTTGAATGATGTTGAACAGCTCGGTGCGGTCAATTTCCTCAGGCATCGTCGATGGCCCCACGGCGTCGTAGGCAGCTATTGCTGCGTGGACTTTGGCCAGCACGACAACCTTGACGAGCGCCCAGTCGTAGTACAAGATCCCGACCTCATGGATTTGTCGCAAGATGCGTTCCAAGGCCGGGTGCGATGCCAGCGCCTCGGCTGTCCTGTCCCCCTCAGCAAAGGCTACATGGTGTCAATGGTATGTCATGGTGAGGCAGGCAGAACGGAGTACCTGCCAACGCTCGTTCATTCTCTGCGATGACTTCTGCGTCGTCAAGCATGGAGTGCTGGTGTCGACGGTGAAACTTCCGACCCAGCAACTTATCCGGTTAAAGTGTACCAATGAAACTGAATTATCCGTACTATCCATCGCTGACAACAAACATGGAAGCAGCGTTGGACGCCTGCGTGAACGACAAGGTGTTGCGCCGCCGTCTTCTATTCCATTGGACCACGGCACATGCCATGCTGCTTCGCATACCTGAATCCTCCTTCTCCACGTCGACACTGAAGCCCGAGGACGAGCAGCAGCCACCGAAAGTCAGTAGTGCCTTGGCACTGTCGCGTATCCACTCGTCGGCGTTCATTCGACTCTTGCACACCATGCAGTCGTCCAAGGACAAGCCATTCTCTAGGTCTTTGCCTAGCACGGTCATGGAACACTTCTGCGATGCGTGCTTCGGGCTCATCATACCCGGGAAGAGCGCGCATGTCCGCATAATCCACCAAAGCCACAACGCCGCCGTCAATAAGAAGCTCGCTCGGGTGCATGCCGCGTCCAAGCGAAAGGCCAAAGTTCTCCACAAGTCCATCGCGCCTTGTATCCGTGTGCGCAACGCCGTCGTCACGACATGCCACCACTGCCGCCATCGCCACACATTACCTGGCACCCCCGTGGCCGCAAAGAAGGTCCGCGCCGCCGCCGCCAAGCCTGCAGTCGTGGCAGCACCCGTGACGCTGAAACGAACTCACGACAGCATCTTTGGCCCGCCGCCCAGTCCCCCTCGAAAGCTGCTTGACGGCAAAAAGAAAAAGAAAAAAACACCCACGCCGACCCCGCCAAGTGCGTTAGACTCGTTCTTTAAATCCCTGCAATAAGACTAGAGAAGCATTCCATCACCTCCACCTGTTGTAGTACGTGCATAGAGTACACTCTCCAACAGGATCTATTACTACGTATGGCGACCATAGTATTCGACGCATCCATGCGAATGTTGTACTGACGCCGTCGTGCGAGTTCGAAACTACTGTTCATGCATATGTTATGAGTCGCTGCGGTGGCATCTCTACCGGTAGCTGGCTTTTCGATTCCATTGAACCCAAGCTAAACCACCAAATGACAGCATGGCAGCTCAGCTATATACCTACTACAGCAGAGTATACAGTGACTGGTAACGTTCATCGTCTTGTTATCATCTTCATGTACTTAGTTACTCAACCTCTCTTGCCTGACAATTTATTGCGTGGCGGTTACACGTCAGCTTGAAAATGCTATATTTTTGGTATTGTGAATTTTTCCCAATTCTGCACAGTTTGTAGAATCTCGCTCCAACCTCGCCGCGACAGTTGATTGGCTGACAAATAGTCTGCAGAAAGGACATGGAAAACAGAAAGATTATTATAGCCAATCAGCGACACACGATTTCATATTAACCAATCAAATGTCTCAGCGAGCCTACCGAATCTACAACATTTGTGTCATGTGGTCGTCAAAATGGTAATATCAACTGCTTTAGAGTATTATTGTCCAGAAAAAGATATCGATTCCCACGAACCGACGCGTCATTCCATTTTTACCACACCAACCCATCAGTGTTTCTGCTACTCTCTCGGCATGGGAACAAGTCGGCGTTTGATGTGGCTGATGGCAGCATTGTGCTTAACCTTGTGCGCATTCTCGGCAAGTGCCCAACAGGCTCTGTTTCCTGGCACGACGGCGTGCCAGCGCTGTGCTAACGATTCGACCCAATGCGGCGACGCGTACAAGGGCATTCCTGGCAAGTACTGCGGTCCATGGCTCAGCAGCGGCGTCAAGCAAGCGTGCTGCTGTCCTCCTACCGCGCGGTGTGTGATTCCCATCAACGCGGCGTCGTGCGGGTGTGATTCCGACCCGACCCCCATCAACAAACCCACAACATCGTCGTCGAAAACTCCGTTTTGGGTGTGGATTCTGGTTGGCGTGGGGGTGCTGGCCTTGGCCGTGGTCATCTGGCGGTGCTGCTGCGTCACGGTATACGAGCCCGAGCCCGTGTACGTCCCGGCGGGTGGAGTCACGTATGTCGGGCAGCAGCCCGTGGTGGTGCAGCAGCCCTACGGCGGCTACGGCTACGGAAATGGCTACGGTAACGGTGGGAACATGGCCGCTGGTGTGGCTATCGGGGCCACCGCTGGGATTGTCGGCGGTGTCCTTATTGGGGAAGCTTTGGCCGACCATGGCGACCATGGCAACTACTACGGCGGCGGCGGCGGCGGCGACTATGGCGGTGGTGGGGGTGGGGGTGGTGGAGCTGACTTTGGCGGAGACTTTTAACGCTTGCATACTATATTCCATCCCATGATGAGATTCTCGTTATGTGTGACTTTATACTGTTAATCGGTCGAGCTCTAGTAGTCGACGACTACTAGAGCTAGAGTAACGTAGGCGATCAATTACTGACCTAGGTGGAAACATATGAACAGTGTATTGTGGGAAATAATTTCGCCGGTATTCCTTGTATTTTAGTCAAACAATAAAAATAATACTTCGAAGTACTATTAATAGTACTGGTACTACGTAGTACGTACCCAGACTCTGCATGCAAACGGGATTTCCTTGTGAAGAATTCCTAATACTACATACTAGTACCGGTAGTTCTGTACTACGTAGTACTACTTAAGTATAATACTGATACTTACTAAATTTATGTTAATACGTAGTATACCAGTACTATTAATAGTACTACGTACAGTAGTATTACAGTATTTTATTGCTTGACTAACTGTAAGTTATATTTAAATACTATTAATAGGAACTTGACGGTGAAAGAGGGCTAGAATTGATAAAGGGGCAAGAATTGGTCGTTGACGTTACAGCAATTTGCACCATGCTGCGAAGAATGTGCCGCGCAATGAACTGACTGGTGCGATATTGCGTTTCTTGGGGAGAATCTCTCCTTTAGAGATGATAACGTTACACGTAAGTGGTTCAAAGCTAGAACATTCTTAGTTACACTGCAGGTTAAGGGCCCAATGGGACTGCGGGAGTCAGGTAAGCATGCCATGGGCTACTGCTGTCCGTAGTCGATGGCAGCGGCGGGATGACGAAATGCTAGTACAAAGCAACTGTCAATAATACACCATTGTATAAGACATGTGTCGTACAGGCGGAATCCGAGAGCCACCGCGACCACTCAAGTGCGCGTCCCACGCTCGTCTAGAGATACAGGGTTAGGTGAGATACAGGGTTGTTGACTCGGAACCTGACAGCCACCAACGACTCCATCGTCATGTCTTGGTCGAATAGCGGATGAAGCCGTGTTGTAGCTTCAGTTTGTTGCGGTAGTTCCAAGGTTGGATTTGCAGTCTTTTGAACAGCCTTGTTGGTGAGGAACGCGGTGACGTCCCGCGTCACTCCATCATCGTCATCCTCGTTGGTGGAACCGCGGGAGGCCTTGAGTTGCTGCAGCAACGTTAACTTGTGGCATATGTGGTCGAGTTTCATACGAATGGATGCCTACACATACATTTGTTAGCAGTGAATCATGAAAAAAAATGAGTTCGCGTACACCAGGTGCTGCAAGCTCGTCCGTGGGTGCGCTATGCACACTGTATCGCTTGTGAAAAGTCAAACCAGCTATGAAGGAATAGCGGGTGTTACCTTTTTGTGAGACCGTCCAATACGTGCCTGTGCACTTGACGGTGGTGTTTCATGTTGCGCCGGTACAGTTTCTTGCGGTGAATACGCTTGGCCATGGACGTGGCCTGCCGAAGCGCTGTGTCGTCGCCAAAGAACGAGCTGTATTGCGTGCGTAGTCTCGTCAGCGTCTCGGTAAGCGCCGCGCGACGTCGTTCGTAATGCAGCTTGGTCCTGGCACGAGCAGGGAGGTTGTGAAATTCGTCACGTGTTGTTGTGTATGCCGTCGCAAATCGATCCATCTCTTCTTGAAGGGATTTGCATTCTCGAATGCGTTGGAGGCATTCCAAGAGAGTCTGCCGCACTCCACGCATGGTAGTCGGTGGTGGTGTCCTTGGCGGAGTTTCGTGGCTTGGGAGGTGGTGAGCAGAGAACTGGGCAAGCCAGGCAGAGTCCGGGTCCATGGGAGGGAGCGACGGAGGGGGAAAGAAGTACGGTGGTGGATGGCCATAACTACGATACATGTATGGCGGCAGACCACTCGGCGGCGGAAGGGGTGGCGCCCGCGGTGGCCATGACGTTGGCGGCAGGTGGTTCATTTTCGAATTTCGCAATGGACCAATGGAGTGCGATTGGTTGAAATTGAATTCACCAATCGGATTGGGGCACAATCCAGTGCTATGATTGGCTGTTGCGTGACGTTTCATCACCCAATCAACGACGTGCAGCGCGATCTTCAACCGTCGCACGCATCGAATGTGCCGGTTCATTTCGGCATTTCTCCATGTCGAGGCGCAGTCTTCTCGTCTTGTATTTATTGCTGTCGTCAGTCTCATTTGCCACGAGTGAACTGTCCTTCGACCAAGACATCGACAGGTTTTCCATTGAAGCGTCACAGTCTACAGCCAAAGCCAGCAAACCCAGCAGTGGCTCGCGACCAGCGCCCCGTCCAGCCCCAGCACCTAGACCAGCACCTAGACCAGCTCCGGCTCCAAAACCAGCACCCGCTCCTGAATCGCGTCCAGCATCTCGTCCTTCTCCGGCCGGTGGCAGCGGGCGTCCGTCACCTGCGTTGAACCCTCGACCTGCAGTGGCACCACAAACCGCCCCTCGCCCCCCTACACGTCCCGCCCCTGCACCGCGCGTTCCCCGGCCCGCGTTTGCCCCCTCCCCCATCCCCCCACGCAACTCTGGTCCTGTCGTGTATGTAAAACCTGCTGCGGCCCGTCCAGTGGTAGTGCGACCCATCACGTACATCCACTACCCATATTACGTCCGTCCACTCTACATCTCCCGACCTATCGTGGTTGTGTCGCCCGTGTTTTGGGCTACCAACATGTGCTACAGGTCGCATTGCCACGTCCAATACCAGCGATGTGTGCAAGTGTTTGGTGACGGCTGCTTCTGCTATCCCGGGTTGCTCCAGTGCCTGCAAACCGCATGCACGAGCTTTTATCAAACAGCTGTCGATCAGTGTCTTGAGCAACAAGTCCAACCCGCACGGTGTATCGTTCGCTGCCACGCACAGCGTTATCCAGTAGCGTTTTCAACCGAAACCTCACCAAGTCCGTCGGGTCGTGCAACCAACGTAACCAACGATACGATTGTATTTATCGACGACAGTTATGCATTTGACGACAATGTCGAGTATACGGTGGTCGTCGTGCTCTACGTCGAAGCCACGACGGCGGCGTTGCTGCAAGATGCTGACTACGAGATCGCCACCGCCATCGCAGGCGTACCGTCGTCGAAAGAGTACTTTGACGTAAGCAATGTCACTCTGACGTTCCAAGACGTCCTCGTCAACGACACCGCCCCTGTGTTGGAGGTCACAGCAAGCATCTCATTGTCGTCGTTCAAGGTCATGCAAGCCACGGACACGATGTTTCAAGCCATGATGCTAGGCAATAGCAACTCTACGTTTGGTGCCCAACTCGTGGATGCACATGTCCTGTTCGACCCAGCGCAGGTCAGCGTAGCCGACGTCAAGTCGGACGTGTCGTTTGCCTCCGACGACAATGCGCAAGAGATCCCTGGCAATGGCGGTGGTATACCATCATATGTGTCCCCTCGAACGATTGTCGTAGCAGTGCTGTTGTTGCTGGTGTAAGCCTGTAGCCCGTCGTTTACAGTTCCGAGGTTCGACCAAATATGTACTCCGAGTTTACTCGAAACGTTAGAGGTCGACAAACTTATAGTTGCTGTGACAATATAATATCAGCACTTTGTACTATTAATAGGGAGCCTGCCACGTTTTGAGAATTCGATGACGCGAAGTAGGTAGTAGGAGGACGCGAAGCTTCTGTGTGCTGTTGTGGTCAGTCAACGTGCGGTTCTTGTCAGACGATCTAGGAAGGGGACACTGGATGTGGGAAGGAAGGGTACACTGGATGTGGGAAAGATATGCACAGGGTAAAGCATCAGTATGCGTATGTTTAGTTTTCAGAGCTGTCCTTTTATCAACACTTTTGAAATCGATGGATCGATTGTTTGTACTGACTTTTGTATCATATGTAAAGATCGTACTAATTAAAGTCTCACACTAATTGTTGAATTGGTCGAAGAGTGAGGTTTGATTGGCCACTTCATCAGTGATGTGGGTTTTGATTGGTCAATCGATTGTCTGCTGATTTGATGCTGCTCATTCGATTACTACTACCAATTTCGAATGGACTTGACAATATCATCCGACACTTCCACTGCCAAAATACCGGTATAGAGTTAGTTACCATAGATACAAGTTCTCATCACGACCACTGCTGATCACATCGTCACATGCACCAATCATGCAATCATACGATGTACGCATGCAGATATCAATACTCCATGTTATACGTATACGTGTATGTTTCGTCAAGAGTCAGCCGTTACATGCTTGATATCGCCAGAATCCGCTATGAATGACAAAACACGCATCCGTATCACAACTACTTTTGTATGGAACGGTAGGGGCGTGATTTGGCATACACTGACCATCAGCTCAGTGTTTCATTGGCAGGTCCATATCCAATGGCATGTTGGGAAATCCCACCGTCAATCGTTCCTGCTGGGGTAGAGGACAAGCATGTGAAACCCGTCGAAGGTCACATATAAACAAGTCGTCTCAACCGACCCCCACCACGAGGAAGGACTCCAGCATGCCGCACCGCCGTCCATCCCATGTCAAGATCACCAAGACGCTGCAGTCCCTGGAGCCGTACTCTGGCCCGGCGATGTTTGCGACGATCTTTACCGTGGGAATCGTCCTCGGGTTCGCACTGGATGCGACGCCCAATATTCCCGAACCGTACGGCCGCATCTCGTCCGTGATCGGATGGACGTACTTTGCCGCGTGGAGCATGAGTTTCTGGCCCCAGATCATCTCCAACTTTTCCCGGCAAAGCGTCGTAGGCGTGTCCCTCGACTACCAGTTGTACAACCTCCTCGGGTTCGTCAGCTACACGATCTTCAACTGCTCGTTCTTCTGGGACACGACTGTCCAAGCCGACTACATGGCGCTGCACGACGGCCATCGCAACGCCGTCCAGATCAACGACGTGTTCTTTGCGCTGCATGCACTCACGGCGACGCTGGTGCAAGCGTACCAATGTCTCGTGTATCCGTGCGGCGACCAGACGTTCTCGGTGCTGTCGCAAGTCGTTGTGGGTACTTCCGCCGCCACGTGCGCGCTCTTCTACCTCGTCTCACTCGCGTCGTCCATGTCCGAGGGGCTGTTCACCACGCTCAACTTTCTCTACCTCCTCAGCTACGTCAAGCTCGGCGCGACCCTTGTCAAGTACATTCCTCAAGTGTATCTGAACCACGCGCGGCGGTCCACGGTGGGCTACTCCATCTACGGCGTCCTCGTCGACTTCCTCGGATCCATCCTCTCCATCGGACAACTCGTTATGGACGGCGCTGTCACGGACGACTGGAGCGCGATTTCTGGCGACCCCGTCAAGTTTGGCCTTGGCGCCGTGTGCATCTTCTTTGACGCGGTGTTTATGGTGCAGCATTACGTGCTATATCCCGACACTGACGAGAAGCACGGACTCGCTCTGGTGGCTCAGCTCAGCACAAGCAGCAGCACCACTGTCATCGTCCAAGTCGCAGATACTGAAGATGATCCGTTGCTAAAGCATGTCGTCAAGCCAACGTCGTCGTATACGTTCGTAGCGGCAGCCGACCATACGAAGAACGACAGTGTTGTGATGAAGAAGAAGAAGTCTTCGCAATCCCTTCGCCATCTTCAAGAGAAAATCGCCCAAGATCCCAATGTCATGGTGCATGTGCCGTACGTCGTCGTGTAGTAGAAAGACATCAGTACTGGTACTGTTCACTCCCCTTTTGGAGAGTAGTAGTAGTAGTAGTAGTACTAGTCGTATTTACCGCCTTTTTATAATTTATATAAAGCCACATTCCATTTTTATGTAGTTTGATTTGGACGAAATCAAAATGGAAATATGTACTATGGAGTATTATTACTACAATTTGAGTAGTTATTCCATTTATATCGGGCATTCGTCCAACTTAACTGCAAAAAGGTGGAGTACGGTACAGTAATAAATAGTAAGCTTATTGGCATTTGCAAAATCACCCTTTATTAATAATAGTAGTAGTACTATTAATACTACTACGTAGTACTACGTACAGTAGTACAGTACTACCATAGTTGTGTTAATGAGTTTACACGAAAAGCTGAAACTCTTGATGAGGGGTCCGAGTATTTAAATTCAAGTCACATATATTTGCATACAAATATGCATACTTATAGATAAATAATAAAAACGATTGAATATCTCAAAATGGACCCACCCCCCACTCCATCCAATCCATCGCCACCAGCGTCCAGTACTTCATCATGACGGAGATTAAGATCAAGGAAGTGTTGAACAAGACATTGCGCGGGTTGGATGAGGCGTTGGTGGACTACATGGTGAGCATCCTGTCGGACTACGACGGCAGCGACCCATTAGTGGACACGATTGCGCCGTTCCTGTTGTCGTCGGGGTTCACAGACGACGAAGACGAAGCGAATCGATACTGCTCGTCGCTGCAAGCGGCCATGCAAGATGCAGGTCTCCTAGCGACGGCGGCCGACGACACATTCAAGAAGCTGGACGTGGTGCAGTCGATGGAGGACATGAGTCGCGCGACGGAAGCCGAGATGAACGGGATCATGGAGCGCATGTGGGGCTTTGAGAACATCCGCAAGACCAAAAACTACAGCATGGACGCGTGCGCAAACACGCAGTCGCAGCGCCAGATCCGCAAGGAAGCGAAGAAGGAGCTCAGCGAACTGGAGAAGGACAAGATGGACGAGGACGAGGACCGGATGTGGGAAGACACGCGCGTGTTGCCTGACATGTCGACCGACAACGGGGAAAAGGTAGTCCCATTCCTTCGCGTTGTTCCTTCTTCAAATCCACATATGCGACATATACATTCGGTAGGATATCCACGTGGACAACGTCACGATGAATTTCAAGGGCCAAACCATCCTCAGCAACACATCGCTCAAGCTTATTTTCGGGCGGCGATATGGCCTTATCGGCAAGGTATTGTGTTTCTTTGACCCAAAATTTGGTTTACTTTTGATTCTTTGCCAAATCTATCGATTGATTTTCTTTGTCCAGTGAATTGGTATCGTCACACTAATTGAAATCACACACTAATTAAATGTATTGATGATCGTGGTTTCCTGCAATCGGATTGGCTCAATCCGTCTTCTGCCGATGATTCTTGTGGATATTTATTTGGTGCTGTGTATTGTCGATTTGATAGTACAAATTTGGGGAGGGGGTGCAATCGAATCGCGCCGACCAAACTGATCCACATTCGATCTGATTGGTTGAATTTCATTAAGAAGGTTTTGATTGGCTAAAATTGTTGAGCTCATCTGAGGTAGCCAATCAAATCGATTTAAATTCCAACGAGAAACCACGCCACAACACGAAATTTCACTCGAAAGCACAATAAATCGATGCATTTATTCATTCATTCTCCATGATATTGTCCTTGTTTTGCCCAATATTTGGTTGACTTTTGATTTTTTGCCAAATCTATCATCGATCGATTCTTTGACGTTTGTAAAGGTCGTCCAGTATCACACTAATTTCAATCACACACTAATTCGATTGAATTATTCGAAGAGTGGATGATTTGATTGGCTAGTTGATTCATGTTTTGTGTTTTGATTGGTCGATCGATTCTCTGCCTTCGATTTGGTGATTCTGCTCCCTTCGATTGAGCACCGAAACACTCCAATTTCGAATCGAATGGACAATATCCCTCCAGTTTAGAATAAACATATCAACCATATCCACATATATCCCCAAATCATCCTCCATCTATCCATCCATTGATCACGTTTCTTTCATGTACTTATGTAGAACGGCGCCGGGAAAACCACGTTGCTGCGGTTCATGTCCCATTATGAGATTGAAAAGTTCCCGCGGCATGTGCGCATGCAGCACGTCGAGCAAGAATCCGCGTCCAAGCTGAGTCTGGTCGAGGACTCGGTGCTGTCGGTCGTGCTCGCCGCCGACTACGAGCGCACGCTGCTCTTGGCCGAAGAAAAGCAACTCCTCGAATCGAACGACAACCCCGAGCGCATCCACAAGGTCCACGAACGCCTCCAGCAGATCGACTCGGACTCGGCAGAAAGCCGCGCCAGAACCATCCTCGCCGGCCTCCAGTTCCCAGAATCAGTCGTCGACGGCCCAGCTAAGGCGCTGTCTGGGGGGTGGCGGATGCGCACGGCGCTCGCTGGCGCGTTGTTCATGTCCCCTGACCTCTTGTTGCTTGACGAACCGACCAACCATTTGGATTTGGAGGTACACAGACTTGTTTGCGATATAGATATATATATCTGCACGCAGTATACGAGTCCTAGGTGTATTGCTACTAACTCGCATACTAGTACTAGTAGTAGTAGTATGTGTTAGCAGGGGAAATAGGTGATATGGGGAGGGGGTGTTGTGTTTTGTGTGGGGGTAATACCCACGTGGAATGTGTGTGTGTTGGATGAAGTTATCACGTGTTTTTAGCATTTGTTGTAAAGTGATATGTATATTCATATATATATAGTTATATTTATATATATTGATGTTGACATGTGGACATACATGTGGGGTATCGTGTTTTGGGTGGAGGAACACCAACGTGGAATGTATGTGTGTGGGATGATGTTGAGGTCTTGCTTGGGTAACTTTTCACGTCGTTTGCATATATATCATTAAATGAAAGATATACATTAATATGTGGGTATGTGTCTTGCATGGCGCCCCAGAATATATATATATATATATATATTCCCAGGTCAGATGTCGACAAGTCTTGCCGATATATATATATATATATATATATATATTGGCATGCCGTACATATGCAGTATATATTTTGATCGTGACGACAGTTGTGGATTGTAGGCGGTAATGTGGTTGGAAAAGTACTTGGAGACGTACCCCAAGACGTTGATTGTGGTATCACATGACCGCAACTTTCTCAACCAAGTCACGACCGATACAATTTACTTGGCCAAGCAGCAACTCTCGTACCATCGCGGCAACTTTCAGTCTTTTGAAAACACGCAGGAAGAGTTGCTCAAGAACCAGCGCAAGGTAGTACATATATATATGTACACTAGAACTCAACGATATCTCACATGTTTCATTGTCGCAGGCGTACGAAGCGCAGCAGATGAAGGTGTCGCACATGCAAGAGTTTATCGATCGGTTCCGGTGCAATGCAAAGAAGGCGCCGCTGGTTCAAAGTCGTGTGAAGGCATTGGAAAAAATCATGCGGACCGCCGTGGAGGAACCGGAGGACCCCCGCGCGTTCAAAATGAACTTTCCGCCGCCAGAACCCCTCGGCCGCCCCATCATTTCCGTCGAAAACGTGGCCTTTGGGTACGGCGACGGCCGCCCCGAGTTGTTTCACGGTGAGCCACAGACACACACAAATATTGTCCACCTTGGTGGCTCATACGTTTTACCCCAAAATACTGTGGACTACTTTTGTGCTAAAACGCCAAACTCCATCGATCGATAATTCTTTGAATCATTTTGCATGTGAAAAAACAGTGTCCTGTGGGGATGATTGGTATCACACTATTTGAAATCATACACTAATTCAACGTTCAAGATGGTTTTCCCTGCAATCGGATTCGCTCACTTGTTTTGCCGATATATTCTTCTTGTGTACATTAACTGATTGTCCATGGGGTCAGTTTCGTAGAAACACTCCAGTTTCGTAGAAACACTCGGGAACGAATAGATTATATACTTCGAAGTATAAATTAGATATGTGAACGTTGTTGTACTTGGTGTATATTAGATGTGAACTTTGGCATTGACATGTCGAGCCGCATTGGCATCCTGGGCGTGAACGGGTCGGGGAAGAGTACGCTGATCAACCTCATGCTTGGCAAGCTCGACCCGACGCATGGCAAGTGTGTGCGCAACCCCCGCGTGCGCATCTCCACCTTCACACAGCATCATGTGGACTCGTTGGATTTGGGCAAAACCGCCGTGGAGAACATGATGGAGCTGTTCCCGGGCCACGAACCTGACGAGTTTCGCACCCACTTGGGGCGGTTCAACCTCTCGGGTGAGCTCGCGATGAAGCCGACGCGCAAGTTGTCAGGTGGGCAAAAGGTACGAATGGTACTGGATGTTGGCAAGTATATATATATATATATATATATGTAGTCGCGCGTGGGGTTTGCTGTGCTGACGTGGCGCCTTCCGCACGTGGTTGTCCTCGATGAGCCGACGAATCACTTGGACATTGGTACGATCTTTAGCTAGAAGAAGAAGGGAGAAAGGATTGATTGACTAATGGATTGGATTGGCTAGAGACGATCGATGCATTGATCGATGCTCTCCGCAACTACAAGGGCGGAGTCGTGATTGTATCGCATGACCAGCACTTTGTCAACAGCATTTGCACCGAGTTGTGGGTTGTGGGCGACCGAAAAGTCACGCGGTTCCAAGGGTCCATGGCCGAATACAAGAAGGCAATTCTCAACGAATGATAACCACCCAATAATACATGGATGGATGGGCGACTTGTCCGTGCTACTGGTATAGTTAGCCTATGGTGGATCACGGGGAAGGGGATATACTATGTATATGTATGTATATGTGGATGGCACAGCGAGCTAGCTATCATCTTCCACGAGCATTAATGCATCGTAAGGTTGGTGGGTGGGGATGACGACACAACTTGCGTGGACACAGACACACATCACGTTCGTTGTCAACCTGGTTATGCACATATAAGCTGAGCCGCACGCATCCTGCACCTCTATTCTGGTGTCCATCAGCGACCACTTGCGACACATTTTCTCTCGACGAGCAACTTGATTGGCCAAGACAACGGTTGGTGGATGGAAACTTGAATAATATTACAGCTCCGTACTGTGTGTTTGTATAAACCGATGACGAATATATTAGAATGGCCGCCCATATATAATGGACACGTTGTGTGGTCAGTTTTGAATTTCCGTCGTTGGCAGCAAGCAGCAGCACAAACCATGGCCGAGAAACTCATGTCACCAAGTGACATTGAGCGGATGTTTGAGGTGGCCATCAACAAGTTTGAGCGGTTGCTGGAGGGCAAGTCGAAGACCGTAAGGTCGGAGAAATCTCCTCCCGCTGTAGTGCCACGAAAGGAGCGCAGCACCAGCAGCAACAGCAGCCTTTCCAAACCCACGGCGGGAAAGGCGTCGTTGGGGTCGTATGGGTCGTATAATAACCAACTGTTGCTATTAACCCTAGCCCGCCTTGTACGGCGAGAACAGTCGCACTACTCGAAGTACACCACAATGCCAGCAGCGTTTTTCGTGCCTAACAGGGAACCATGGCCTGCGCATGTTCGCGGCACGAGCGTTAACATAAACGGGTTTCGTGCCGCGAAAAAGAAAGACAAGATCCATCCCAAGATCGAAAAAAAACTCAACGACCTCAATTTTGTGTGGGATCTAAACCAACACAAGTGGCAAATGAACCTTTGGGGATTGCGAATCTACAAAGTTTGCCATGGTGATGTGGATGTCCCACTGTCGTTTGTCGTGCAAAATAAGGACGACACGTATCCGAACGAGTTGTGGTCGTTTGCCCTCGGCCAATGGCTCGCCAAAACGAAAGCGGCTGTTCACGATCTGCCAGAAGGCAAGAAACGGGCGTTGGCCGAAGTTGGTGTGCAGTGGGTAGAGTAGATCAAAACTAGTAACGTTTCAATACATGGTTGTTCTAATGTGATAAACATGAACGTAGTACCTTGTAGAGTACAATCCAGGCTTTTTCTTGGTGATTGTCGTGTAGAAGCAATAGCAGGTAGCATTGAGTTTCTTGAGTGTATTCTTGAGTGGTATGTGACAATAACGTGGTCCGTATACTTTGCACGGGGTAATAAGCGATTCTTTGCAGTGGTAGGTGTCGCGATCGAAACACTTTGAGAGTGTGTGACATGCTATGAGCTCGAATAACGATCGCTCTGGGGATAAAATTCTGGCGGCCAGCTTGAAGAGGTCGCCTACTCGTAGTAGCAAAGTATGCTTTGTTTATAAGCTTACCTCGAGGAATTTCGTATCCACAGAAAATGATTGATTATCCTGCAGTGTCAGGCTAGCACCAACAATGCATCACGTCATACTCCACGTTCGTACTTAAAACTGTATGAAGTTCTCGGAGTATAAGGCTTGATATACGGGCTGCAGTATCGACACATTGCATCGCCTGTAAACAGCGATAGTTTAATGCATAATGATAGGAGCTGTCTACAATTTGGCGTTTACAGAATGATGCAAGCAGCACACATGATTGACTGTATCCACATATGCAGGGAAGAGTAAATAACCGCGAAGTATGCCGTAGTCGCATCGCTCTTCTTGGCTCTGACTTGCTACTGTAAGTGCTATGTCCGTAAGAGCTTACGTTATATACTACCGTATTTCCCACCTGCCAGTACCCCTTGAAATGTCAGTAAAATCTGGTGCAAATGGGTATAGCTAGACAAGGAGAGCTCAGATCAACCAGCAGAGCGTGAGGAAATGTGATTGTTTTGTTTGAATATAGTGAATACCTGTTCGTTTCGTTTTGCTGCAGCTCAAATGCATTTTTGAATTTCATGCCTTCCCCATCGCCAAGCATCGGTGTAACGGTAGCGAGCTTCACTGAATAAATTGGAAAGTGATTAGATTGTCGTCTTAAACTACTAACTACGAAAATGTATGCTATACTAAACTACATCGAGTAAATGTTTTTCTCTACGGCTGCTTCAACGGCCTTGCCCGTTAATGATGCGACAATCTTTAGCTTGTTCTACAGCCTTGATCGTTTTGTTAACGATGCGACAAGCTGTATTCTTGGTCGGCAACCTTGACATCATTAAATTTTCCCCCGGTTGTCGACTTGGATTCTTGAACGCAGGTCTTCAAGCAATCGTTTGAAATGGGGAATATGCTTGATGCTGCGCTCGAGCTCCCAAGTTGCTTCGTGTTCGGGCAAACCATGTCACTTGATTAAGTCCTCTTTCTTCCGATTGAACTGTCGTTGCTTCAACAGTGCTTCAACGATGTGCAGTTTATTTCCCGTGTCGTCGAGAATGATAGAACTTGCTCTGGGTATTGGAATTCCTTGAAATCGTTCTGGGTTTTGGACATGATGCTTCAAGCGATTCACATGGAAGGCAACGTGAAGCCTGCTCATGCTTTGTGGCAGCTTCAACCGCATCGCATTGGCGTTCAAAACTTCTTGTATCTTGAACAGGCAAATGAATCGTGGGACGAACTTGGCTTTTTCATTCTTGTTTTTGACTTCAGCATGCTTCAACGGAATGTTTGTCGTCGCCTGCATCACATAATCGCCCTCCTTGAACTCTACCAGCGATGGCTTCTTGTCGTAGTAGTTCTTCTGTCGAGTTTGTGCTTTTTCCAGGTTGTCAAGTGCCATGCGCACGAGTTCCTTGCGCTGTTCCGCGAAGTTCTTTGCATACTCGTTTAGTGCCTCAATCTCGTTCAGCGATGGGTTGCGTAACTTTCTTCCCGTATCCACTTCAAATGGTGTTAACCCCGTTGACGCTTGAACTAGCCCTTTATGTGCATATTCCATGGTTCCAAGATGTTCTGACCAGTCGTGACCCAAGTTTGAGACTTGACATCTCAAAGCATCTTCGAGGGTCCGATTTTGTCGTTCGGTGGCTCCATCACTTTGCGGCCGACCCACCGTCGCCATGCAATGCTTGACGCCCATGATCTTCATCAACGCTTGCCAAAATTCACTCGTGAACTTGGAATCTCGGTCGCTGATGACAACTGCGGACAAACCATGGTGTCGGACGACTGCATCGAAGAATTCCTTTGCTGCTTGAAGAGCATCCACGTTTGACTTGTCGCACAGTATGCTGGACGCTTTGAAGTTTTTAGCAACGCACGTCATGATCGCATCCTTTCCGTTCGAGACCGGTAAACCAGTAATCCAGTCCATCGAAACTGTGTGCCAACATTCTTCAGGCGATTCGAT